TGTAAGCCGCTCTGAGTGAAGGGTGGGGTATAAATCCAATCTCTTCTCTTCTTCTTCTTCTTTCTCTCTCTCTCTCTCTGTGTGTGTGTGTGTGTGTGTGTGTGTGTGAGAGAGAGAGAGAGAGAGAGAGAGAGAGAGAGAGAGAGAGAGAGACTGTGCACCCGGAAGCCATGGTTACCTCTGGTGACTGACCTCTACTGGGGGCCTGGAGGATATTCAGAGAGGTGGCTGTAGAGTTGCCAGCTCTGGTTTGGGAAATACCTGGAGATTTTGGGGGTGGAGCCTGGGGATGGCAGCATTTGGGGAGGGGAGGGACTTTAGCAGGGTACAGTACCATATAGTCTACCCTCCAAAGCAGCCATTTTCTCCAGGGAAACTGATCTTGGTTGGCTGGAGATCAGTTGCAATAGCAGGAGATCTCCAGCTGCCACCTGGAGGTTGGCAACTCCAGGTGGCTAAATAAAGCCTACTCCTGCTTCCCGCCTCTGGTATTCCAGGGAGGTCTCCCATCCAAGTACTTGCCAGAGCTGACCCTGCTTAGCTTCCGAGATCAGGCTTGCCTGGGCTATCCAGGTCTGGGCGGCAAGTTTTGGATGAGAGGAAAAACATGAGAAGGGAAGAAAAAGAAAACCCACATTTGTTTTTCTCTCTTCACATCCTACTTCATGCTACACCTGAAACTGCTCAGAGATTCCCTAATGTGATTACACAATCAAATTGTTACAGCAAATCTCACGTCTGTCATGAACTCTCTGGATGGCCTTAGACAACCCACCCTCACCTTTCCATCTGCTGGGGATAATAATACCAGCCATCCTCACAGGGCTGTTGTAAGAATGTTGAGGAATACTACAACTTTTGTGAGGGCAGTGCACTGGAACCCCCACACCAACAGGGAAAAAATGCCCCCCCACGCCATCTGAGTTAGGAAATACTATATCCCCTCCCCCCACCCCCCACTAATCCCAACCTGAATCAGAGACTGTGCACTTGGAAAATTGTTCCCAGCATTGTGATGTATGGCTAACGGTCTAAAAGCTGAGTCAAAGAACCAACCAATAAAAAGTCATCACACCTAGCCGAACTGCCATTGGTTGTGTATGCATGGAAATTTTGTACAATTTCCCCACAAACTGCATGGTGGGTTTGTTTACCTTGGGGTGGTGGTGGGGAATCATCTATAGTCATCCAGTAACCCCTTTTCTGACTGTTCCCCTGCCTCACTTGTGTGTTTTCCTAAACCCCCTTTGATACAATCTTTCAAAAAAGGCCACACACAAAGGGGTGGTTGGGAACAATCTAGATGGGAAGAGGCAGATTTCCGCACCTCCCTGTCCACATCCTGCACTATTTCCTTTATAGCTGTCTTTTCCCAGCCACCAGCTGGCTTTTTTGCCAGCTTCTTTAAAAACAGGCCATAGTGAGATAGCTGCAGCTGATTGTTTAAACCCTGACCTGGATAGCTCAGGCTGGTCTGCTCTCATCAGATCTCGCGAAGCTAAGCAGGGTCGTTCCAGGGTAGTACTTGGATGGGAGACCACCAAGAAAATCGAGGCTGGCTACAGAGAGGCAGGCTGTCACTATAAGTCGGCTGTGATTTGATAGATATATACAGATATCTGAAGCCAACAAAAGGCGCTCCAGCGGCCTCAACGAGCATACAACAGGGAATCATCCCCATGTGACAGCCTGTTATCTGTTACAAATTTCAGAGTCCAGCGGCACCTTTAAGACCAACAAAGTTTTATTCAAGGTATGAGCTTTCGTGTCCAAGGCACACTTCTTCAGATACAATGGAATGGTCGGTAAGGTTCGAACTTATAGACAAGGGCTGAACAGCAAATTAACATGTAACATGAAGAAGATGTGCAAAGACAAAACAAAAGAAGGCAAACGGCCATCCTACCTGGTAATCCTGAGCGGCCTCCTCCAAGGGAAGCACAGCATGGTTCTGATGCTCTTTAGATTTGTCGCACACCACGCAGATGAGCATCTGGTCATCCTTACAGAAGAGTTTCAGGGGCTCCTGGTGCCTCTTGCAGGTCATCTCCCCAGCTGCCTTGGCTACCTGCAGCTTGGGGGCAATTTCCGCAATGTTCTTCAGCTCCAGGTTGGGCTTCAGGGTTTTTTTCCGGCTGGTTTCTCGGCAGCGTGGGCAGGAGAATGTTTTCTTTTTCCCGATCCTCCAGTAGTTGGTGATGCAGGCTCGGCAGAAATTGTGTCCGCAGTGAATTGACACTGGGTCCCTGAAGCACTCCAAGCAGATGGAGCAAGAAAGCTCTTCTTGAAGCCTCGTGGCTGCCTCCTCTGAGGCCATGATGAACCCAGTCTGGGAGAAACGGAGCAGGATGGGTTTCGCTTTGCCAAGCGTAACATTACAGGCCCTGGGGAAAGGGCGTCTCTTCACCATCCAAAGCATTTTTTTTTTCCAAACAAACATTTCCTGTGCAGAGGCATTTGCTGCTTTGCATTAAGGATTAAGGCATTGTTGATTTGTACAGGCCTGCACAGGCACAAGAACTCCTGAAATCACTACACTCATCCACAGAGGCCAGTCTTCTTCTAAACTATTTATAAAACCACTAAAGTTAGGAAACAAGTTCAGATCTCCTATGACGGCAGAAAGACAATATCCCCCCCCTTTTTGCTCAAGGCAAAAAGTTAAAAAAGAGCAATGATATCCAGTAACTCAAGGGTAAATCATGCACTACCAGTCCAACCAAATAAAAAGTGCAGGCTATTGCCTGGGGCTGCAGAATTCCAGTGGTTTCAAATAAACCAGTCTGAACAGTTTGATTGCCTCACCCATTCTCTTCTGCCTTGAGAGCCAGTGGGATGATAGGCGCAGCCTCTGCCACAGAGATCAGGTGGCATTATGTTTTTGGATGTCATTCATTCTCTCATTATGCCAGTTGATTCTGCAATTATACATGTTCTCAACTGCCAATCGATTCTGCCAGATGGCTTTCTGTCAGGCTTAATCAGTATAAGAGATTGCATCTAGGGTTGCTTTCACTCTTTCTTCTCTAGTTTGGCATCCAAGGTATTTTCAGAGCATAAATACATCATCTCTAATCATCCACTTCCCATGTTTTCCCCATACTTTCATGTGATCTTTCTCAAATCAGATTTGATACAATCTTTTAAAAATGATAAGAAAATGTGTTTGCACACTACATGGATGAGAAAGTGCAAATTCTAAAGGCCCTGCCCACATTTATGCCACTTTCCTTACCTCACCCCACTGCCACCGTCTTCCCCATTCCACCAGAGCACTTTTTTGGACTTTTTATTGGTAATTGTTAAACCACCTTTCCCATTATATTTCTGCAATGAAAAGGGCTAGAGACCTATTTTACAAAAAAAGAATAAAGCTGGGAATTCAGATGAATTGGCACATCATGGCAATAGAGCATTACAATTCTATTGTGATTATGCAATTACCATTTTTAAAACGCCCGACTGAACCTTCTTGTGTCACGGGGAGGGGGTGGATAAAAGGAAAATACAGCTGGATAAAGTGCACACAAAATAGTGCGGATGCCCCATTGTCATTGTGACTATCTCTTGCCAGTGTGGTGCAGTGGTCAGAATGTCATACTAGGATCTGGGATACCCAGGTTCAGATACCTGCTCTGCCACGGAAGCTTGCTGGTTGATGCTAGCCCATTCACACACTCTCAGCTTAACCTACCGCACAAGGTTGATGTGAGGATCAAATGGAAGTGAGGAGAATGATGTAAGCTGTTTTGGGTCTTCATGAGGGAGAAAGGCAGGGTAGAAGCGAAGTAAATAAAATAAATAAGCACCAATGATGGGGAAACAGAGACTTCTGCTTAGCTTCCCAATATCTGTTGATTAATCTCCTGAGAAAAGATTCACCGGGATGATTCTAAATTCATTTTAGGCATGGCACAAAAATAAAAGGCTGTTGAGAAATCTTTGCACCGATTTTCCTTTTATCCATATGCTGCCGTCTGATAGGGTTGCCAGCTCTGGATTGGGATATACCTGGAGATTTTGGGGATGGAGCCTGGAGAGGGCAGGCTTTGGGGTGGGGAGGCACCTCAGCATGGTACAATGCCATAGAGTCTACCCTCCAAAGCAGCAATTTTTCTCCAGGGGATCTAATATCTGTAGCCTGGAGATTAGTTGTAAAAGTGGGAGATCTCCAGGCCCCACCTGGAGGCTGGCAACCTCATCACCCCTAAAACCTGGCCTGATGGGCACTGCAAAAATGCTTCCACAAGGATGGAATGTTGAGAGCAGCTGAGCACCAGTTGCAGGGAGGATCAGGGCCAATAAGACTCCTCAAGCTCCTAGACGGAAAGATTTGATTTGAGGGAAGGGGTTTCTCAAATCGACGCCCACCCACAATTCCTTGCAGCTCTCCAGCTTGTGTGCCCTACTAAACAGCTGATTTCCCCTCGCCAGATTGTGCCTCTCTTTCAGGCCCTCCTGCAGTACACAGAGGGTTACATTCCTCAGCAGCTGGAGCACTCAGCCGTAATCCTCTCTCTGGCTCAGCCAATCAGCCGGGATGACGAAAGAGAATTGAACCCGGCCGGGGAAGTCAGGGCCACCATGGAGAACCCCGTGGAAAGCCTCCACAAAGAAGCCACTTGCTCCATCTGCCTGGAGTATTTCCAGGATCCCGTGTCCATCCCCTGCGGGCACAGCTTCTGCAGGAGCTGCATCACCCTGTGCTGGAAAGAACGGAACACGAATTTCTCTTGCCCTCAGTGCAGGGAAACTGCCCTGCAGAGGAATTTCAGGCCCAACCGGGAGCTGGGCAATGTGGTGGAAATAACCAAGCGGCTCAATCGGCAAGGCTTGAAAGGGGCCGGAGGGGAAAAGATGTGCGAGAAGCATCAGGAGGCTCTGAAGCTGTTCTGCAGCGAGGAAGAGGACCTGGTCTGTTATATCTGCCGGGAGTCCCGGGCACACAGAAGCCACGCTGTGTTTCCTATTGAGGAAGCGGCTCAGGATTATAAGGTACACGCATGAAGCTGCCTGCCTTGTACTACCGATGGTCCATCAAGGTCTGCCTTGTCAACTCTGAATGGCTGTGGCTCTTCAGAGTCTTAGGCTAGGGTTGGGAAATACCTGGAGATTTTGGGGGTGGAGTCTGAGGAGGGCAGGGTTTGGGGAGGAGAAGGGCTTTAATGGGGTATAATGCCATAGAGTCCACTTTCCAAAGTGGCCATTTTCACCAGGTGAACTGATACCTGTTACCTGGAGATCAGCTGTAATAGCGGGAGATCTCCAGCTATCGCCTGGAGGTTGGTAACCCTGTCTCGGGCTGAGGTCTTTCACATCACCTACTGCCTGGTCCTTTTAACGGAATGTGTGTGTGTGTGTTTGAACCTGGGACCTTCTGTAAGCCAAACAGAGCCAGTTCCCCAGCTCCTCTCCAGATAACTGTGAGGCATCTTGGCAAGCATTCTGGGTTTGCTGTAGGTTAGGTTTGCCCCTTTGAAAGCCAGATACGGTTCAGAGAGTTTTGGCTTTCCTAGGCTGTGGTCACACACCCACTAAGTAATACACTTTCAATCAGTGCACTATCCAACTAGATTTTACTAAACTGGCAAAATCCAGTTGGAAAGTGCATTGAAAGTGGATTATTTTGTATGCGTGAATGCAGCCCCAGTACAACAGAAAGCAAGGCAGCTGCCCCTCAGCTAGTTGGTTCTTTCCCTTCACCTGTCCTCCCCCTTTCTTTGAGTGCAAGGTCAGATTTAGACAGAAATATTGTGTGTGTGGTGGTGGGAGTATGCGTGAGTTTGAATTGGAGGCTGATCTGTATGGGGCAAACTGCAGTGGCAGAATTCTGAGGTAAATATAAGAGCAACCATGCTGGATCAGACCAGCAATCCACCCATTCCAGTATACTGTTCCACACAGTGGCCAACCTGATAGCCCCAGATGACCTACAAGTTCAAGCAGGACAGGGAAGCCGAAGTCTCTCCGTTGTTGCCCCCACCCAGCACTGGCATTCAGAGGGTTACTGCCTCCGAACATGGAGATTCTATTTAGTCATCATTACGGTATTAGCCATTGATGGTCCTCTTTTCCACAAATTGGTCCAACCCCCTCTTAAATTTGACTAAACTATTGACCATCACTAGGGCCCATGGCAATGAATTCTGCATTCCGCAAGGTGGTAAAACATGCTGTACCACGTCAAACTGCGGTCACATTTTTAACGCTGCCCCATGTACAAATTCCCTGCAAATAAAAAGTAACATATCAAGGAGCAAAATTCTGGCTCAGTCCTTTGTGACCTAGGCTGGTTTCCTACTTCCAGGGAATCATTAATGTAGGGGAGTACAGGAAATGTGCAGCCCCTCACCTACAGTCTGCAGTGGTAGAGCCCCCTTTATCACTTCAGCACGCTGCCACCTCATTCTGCTGCATGTGTAGACCCAGACACTGAAAATCCTCGCAAAACAGCAAAAACTTAAATGCAAATGTTCTGTGATGGTTTGGTTGCAGTGGTTTTATTGACTGAATTATTATAATATAAAGTTAAATTACTTTTTAATGCCCCCCCCAATATTTGCCAAACATTCCACTGGCTTTCGACTCATTAACCAGAATGCTGATAGGTAAGAGCAGGTGTATTTTTGGTGGAGTAACTGACTAGAAAACAGCCTGTACACTTTGCCTCCTATTTCAAAAGTTAAAGCCCCCCCCCAGCTGAAAATTTAAGGAAGGGTCCTAAAATATTCTGGTCTTTGGACTTCTATCTCCCATGCTATGCCCTTGAATAACCAAGTCTCTCAGTGTTAGACACCACCGGATTCTTTTCTATCCCCATTTTATCTTTGCTGACAGGAGTTTTTTTTTCTAATTTTGATGGGGGGAACAAGTCACACATCTGTTTGAAACTGTATATTCTAGAATACTGCAGGGTTCTCCAGTTTATATGTCTTCTCATAAACGCTGATGGGATCTGAGATGGCAGCAAGACACCAAGAAAAGGATCTTGGGGTGGTAGTGGGTAGCTCAATGAAAATGTCAACCCACAGTATGGCTGCTGTGAAAAAGGCAAATCTGATGCTGGCTATGATTAGATAAGGAATAGAGATAAAACTGCCACTATTGTACTGCCTTTATACAAATCTATGGCGAGACACACTTGGAATATTGTGTACAGTTCTAGTCACTGGACCTGAAAAAAGATACTGTGGAGCTCGAAAAGATTGTTCATTTATTTATTGATTTGATTTATACCCCGCCCTCCCCGCCAAGGCAGGTTCAGAGCAGCTTACAATAAAATTTGAACACATTTAAAAACAAGTTAAAACAATTCTAAGGTGCGATATAAATATTACATATAAATATTGCATCTGTGGTGACGAAACATAGTTTTTAAACGTTATCCATAATAGGTGTCCAGTCAGTGTTAGCTTATAGGACAACTGTCTAGCCCATAGTGTGTTAAGAACAGCACAGTACAATAGCCTTTGATAGATTCCAGGGCAAGGTTCTGATGTTAAGTGCGGCTCCTCAATCAAATGCCTGGTGGAAAAACTCCATCTTGCAGGCCCTGTGAAACTGTAATAAATTCTGCAGGGCCCTGATGTCCTCGGAGAACTCATTCCACCAGCACGGAGCTGCCACAGAAAAGGCCCTGGCCATGGTCAGCCTGGCAGAAAAGAGCAAAAATGATGGGGGGGCTAGAGCAACTGCCCTATGAGGATCGATTAAGACACTGAAGGCTGTTCAGCTTTTAAAAAGGGGGAGATATGATAGTGATATACAAAATAATGCCTGGTGTGGAGAGAGCAGACAGGGAGAAGCTTTTCTCCCTCTCTCTCTACTAGAATCTGAAGTTGTCCACTGAAGCTGAAGGGGGGGGGGAGATTCAGGACAGATGAAAGGAAGTACTTCTTCACACAGCGCATAGTTAAAACTGTGGAACTCACTGCTACATGATGTGGTGATGGCTCCAACTTGGAAGGCTTTAGAAGGGGAATGGGCAAATTCATGGAGGGCTGGGCTATCAATGGCTACTAATCATGATGGATAGCTACTATCTCCAGTACCAGAGGTAGTATGCCTTTTTAAATCAGTTGGTGGGGAGCACAGAAAGGATGGTGCTGTTGCTGTCTTCCTGTTTGTGGGCTTCCAAGAGGCAGCTGGTTGGCCACTGTGGGAACAGAATGCTGTATTAGATGGGCCTTTGGTCTGATCCGGCATTGCCCTTATGTTCTTATGAGTGATCAGTGTGCAAAGGTTAATTTTTGTGAAAGACTAACCAGAAACACAGTTAAAAGAATTCAATATCCATCAAGTTGCTGCTTTTCTGCAGAGAGACCCTCCTGCTTTGATGTTATAAGCTGGGGTGATGTCTGATGCTGAGGGTAAAAAGGGGTAGGGAAGAGGGTTATTGCTCTGGGGGTTTTTTATGCCTCTTGTTTTGTGACCAGTGTGATATTTTAAATTCATCTGTTGATTATTTATTTATTTAAAAGTTATACCCCGCCTATTTAGAAAGAGATCAAAGCATCTTAAAAAAGGAAACAACCCCACCCCCAAAAGAATTAAACAACCCTTCACCCCCCAAAAAACCCATATTCCATCAAGCATAAGAACTAGAACAAATGTTAATCATAAGAATTTATCAGTTTTCACCAGAAACTACATTTACAACATCAGTATGATTTTCACTTCATCAAAAATCCCATTGAAAAAGGATTATTTTACATGCCTTTTGGAAGGATAAGGGAGTACATTGCCTTCAGAAGGCCATTCCACAATATACTATACTAAAGGAAAATGTCTGATTTCTTTAGAAACTAGATGAGGAAGTCTGATCGATGGCAAGTCTTGTTGTGTGGATTTAAGAGATTGCACAAACTCATACCACAGTAGGGAAGCAGTGGTTGTCTACATGCTGTTTTGTTAAATGAGATGTAACCTACTGTGGAAAAAAGTCTGAACAATAATGATAATAATGAAAATATCTTAAAGTCAGTTTCTCTCTGTTTAGAAAGAAATCCAGAGCAAACTCCAGAGTGTGAAGGAAGAGAGAGAAAAACTTCTGGGATTAAAACTGACTGGAGATCTTAGACATCAGGAATATCTGGTAAATTTACAGTCCAATATTATAGACTAGCAACGTATAGGTGGGCATGGATGTGTCCAAACATGCTATAGGGTTGTCAGCTCCTGGTTGGGAAATTCCTAGAGTTTTGGGGGTAGAGAGTGGGGTGGGTGGTGTTTGGGGAGGGGTAGGACCTCAACAGGGTTAAATGACATGGAGTCCATCCTCCAAAGCAGTCATTTTCTCAAGGGGAACTGATCTCTGCAGTCTGGAGATCAGTAATAATTTTGTGAGAGACCAGGCTCCACCTGGTGGTTGGCAACCCTAACATACATGATTGTGTGTGTGATTGGATCTTGGCTGTATCTATGTAGCACTCACAGCACATGGTATCCACTCTGTGTATTGCACTGATCCTCTGGTAGTCCTCACAGCAGGGAAATTGCAAGATCACCATGAATGGCAAAATCCAAACACATGTACAAAACCCCTGCTCCAAACAGTACATCTTTTTCCCTAGTATTCTCTCCTGTACCACTGGTTGTATATTCAACCATTAAACCACGTGCATGGGATCTAGCATAAACTCCAAAGTGAATAGATACACTTACGCAAACTGGAAATATTATTTTTCTGATCCTATATAACATCATTCATTCAGGCTTTTCGCTGCAGACATAACGAGTAGGAACCTGCATTTTCAGAACACTGTCATATTTCAGAATGATCTAACAAGAGCCAGTGGGAGGCACAAAAAAGTCTATTCCTATGTCTGTGTTTATAGCAGACTACTTTTTATCATGTTCACAAATGGGACCTGGGTGTGATAACATAGATGCCTTTATCCTTCCATCCTAGTTACCAGCATTTTGCACGTAGTATGCTTTTCCCAGGTACGTCTCCTGGTCAGGTGAACTGATGTGGTTTGGGAGTTCAGGTGCTTCCCAGGGGGGCACTTCAATTTGGATTGGGACTGCAGCATATAGGGAGAAGGGAGGGGGGATCTCCTGCCAGGTGCCATTTTTCTAGCCTGTAAAAGCTCCAGGGAGTCACCGTGTAGTCCTGCTGGGGAAAAATAACATGTAAGGGAAAGTCTAAGCTCCCCTTTCCCCATGTGCCATGGTCATGATCCAAATTGGACCCATGCCCGGGAAGCATGGAACTCTCAGACCACACCTGTCAATCTGACTTGGAGCATACCAAGGAAATTTGTATGATGTAGTTCGGTCCTTAGTTTGACCCAGAAAGAGAATTTAGGATGGGGAGTTGGAACTAGCCTGACAGAAGCAAGGTCCGTTCTCCGTGTCTGGAGTCACCAGGGACAGAAAACTTAACTTAGCCCCAGTGGCATCCTGAAAGGTCTCTCTTTACTTTCCCTCTTTCCATCCCTGCATTACAGAGGCAAGCAGAAGCCGAGAGGCAGAAAATCGTGTCTCAGTTCGAGCAACTGCACCACTTCCTGGAGGAACAGGAGCAACTCCTGCTGGCTCAGCTGAAGGAACTGGAGAGGGAGATCACCAAGCATCAGAAGGAACATGGCGCAGCATTTTCAGAGGAAATTGGCTCTCTTGGGGCCCTCATCAGTGAAGTAGAAGAGAAGTGTGAACAGCCAGATAGTGAATTCCTGCAGGTAAGCCCCCGCACGTTTCTTTGGAAATGTGTAAAAGAGTTGTGCAAAGCACATGAAGCATAAACAACAGTTATGAAATCCCAAAATATTATTGCTTAATGCTTACTTTGTCAGACAGAAGTCAGATGGATATATAGACAAGACATATCAAGAACATACATCATCACAGACAAAATAAAAGGGGTGTTGTCTCCATGCCGTGTTTTTATTTTATTTTATGCTTCCTTTTACAGAATGTAGACACCACCTGTCTGCCCTCATAAGGGCCACCAAGGCTGGCAACAGATAAAAACGTACATAATAAAATTGTGTCTTACAAACCATTACAGCAAACAAGAAACCCATCACCAAAACAATTAAAACCAGACAGAGCTAATAGAGTGAGAGGTAGAAAAGGTGGCCAGCCACGGGTTAGAAGAAACTTTGAGCAACCTCTAGGGCTCACACATCCAGCTGTTTGAGAGAGCTCCTCTGTTATGCATAGAAGAGAGATAATGATGTTGATCGAACAAGCTTTGCCACTGATGAAAATAAGGAAGTGTCCCCTTTGAACACCCAAAAATGGTTGTGCCGAAGATCATGAGACCCTCATGGACAAAAGCCATGACAGACAGGGGTTGTAGTAAGGAGGGGAGTCAGGTGGGATTGAGTGGAAAAGCTGATTGGACCCACCCCAAAGCCCCTAGATGTAGCATCTCCTGCCACTGCAGCCCTGTGATGCAGCTTGTGAAATCCTTCCTTCTATGCAACTCTTTACTTTTCAGCCTTGTAGGATTGAGAGCCTTGACTTGAATAGCCCATGCTAACCTGCCCTCATCAGATCCTGGAAGCTAAGCAGGGTTAGCCTTGGTCAGTATTTGGATGGGAGACCAAGGAATTTTAGGATTGCTGTGCAGAGGCAGGCAGTGGCAAACCACCTCCGAATGTATCTTGCCTTGAAACCCTGACTGGGGTTGCCATAAATGGGCTATGACTTGACGACCGGGGGGGGGGGGTGTATTGAGTGGCATGGCAGGGCATCATTGTTTACCTTGGCAGCCTATATGCTTTATTAGAAACTGGTTCAACTGCTTGCACTTCTCTGCCACCAAAGTCATTTACTTTAATTATCCCTGTGAAGTACACCCAGGGGTAGCTTATTCTGAATCTTGCCCCACTGATGTTTACTGTAGAGTTGTCGGTACTTGTCTATTTCTGTATTACTGTATACAGAACTTTTTTTGTTGCTGTTTTTGACCTTTTGGGTTTTAAACACAGACAAATTATTTTACTGATAACACAGACAATGCATGTGAAATGTTTGTACAGTTTGCAGAAACTCTTGTATAAATACACGAAACTGGCATGTATCCTACCTTAGGATGCAGGAAGCACATCTAGCCTAAGGAAAATTCCTCAGACTTAAGTGACTCTTCCACTAGAGGAAGAACCACTTAAGTTGGAGGAAGATGTCAAATTCTGCTCAGGGGAGTGGTAGAATGCACACCAATATTATCAGACATTCGCCCTGACCTGGATAGCCCAGGCAAGCCCAATCTCGTCAGATCTTGGAAGCTAAGCGAGAACGACCCTAGCAAGTACTTGGATGGAAGATCTCTAAGGAATACCAGGGCCATAATCAATGCTCCCTCTGAGCTGGGGGGGGGGGTCTTGTGAGCAAAAATTCTACTTTGTGAGCTGCTGGCATTAAAGTTGTGAGCAAGCAATTTGTTACTGTATAAATTAGTTTGCTCTGGAGCCGTCCTTCCTGAGCTAAGACAAAAATGTGTGAGCCAGAAGCTTAAAAAACTGCGAGCTAGCTCATACTAACTCAGCTTAGAGGGAACACTGGCCGTAATACAGAGGCAGGCAATAAAGCCACCTCTCTGAATGTCCCTTGCCTCCAAGCTGCACTAGGGGTCGCCAGAAGTCAGCCATGACACACATAAAATACCCCCGCCCCAATGATCAGACATTCCATTTACTGCATTTAAGTGCTGCCTCTTCTTGTGATCCCACAAACCAAATGTACACACTTTTCACATTTCCACCACATTCGACATTATCCCACTGGTATTATTTCCCCCCAACAATAGGTAGCGTGTAGTCGTTACTCTGGTTTCCCGTATGTATCTATGATACTGAGAAAGTGGTTAGAATAGCTGATTCTCATGACATGCTTTCTCTCCCTATCCACATTTCTTCTTTTTCTTTCTAGGATATCAAAAACACCTTGTGCAGGTATGTGGCACCCTGTGACCTGAGGCACTTTCCCCCTGAAGGATGCCCACCTTCATTCTAACAGAGGTGGTTTGTTTTGCTAACTGAGAAGCCCCAGCTTCTATCTGGTACCAGCTGTCCAGCAGCATTTTTTGGCAGCGCTAATTAAAATTACTACTATCTCAAAATTCTGGCACAATGAAAATGATTTTGCTCTTTGCAGGTTTGATAAGAAGCCATTTCAGCCACCTGAGGAAATGCCGGTCAAGGTGGAAAAGAGATTAGGCAAATTCTCTGAGAGGAACGTTGCTCTTGCAGAAATCCTGAACAACCTCAAAGGTACTGAAGTTTGGCTTCATCATAGATTGGCCTGTTCTGTACTGAATTTTGTGTCAGAAGCCTCCATGAGTGACTTGACAGAGAGACCACTGTATATGAATATTTAAAATAAATCAAAATCTTCATTGACTGTTCTTTTTGAAATTCTTGTCAAGCACTGAATATACAAACATTATAAATGTTGTTTAAATTCTCTAACTGATTTATTGAGCTTTTGATAAGTGTATAGAGATTCATTCTTGATTTATAACCAGTTCTCTCCTTCTGTCCCTTCTGGTATCTCTGTCAATTTCCTCCCCATTGCACCCCAACACAAAAAAGACCCTTCTGATGCATCTGGGCTGAAGGGGCAAACAGGGCTCCCAGCTCAGACAACATGGCTTAGAAGCATTAAGATACCTCATCTCAGAATTGAACCACTGCTTACAAATGACACATCTCTCCTCTTCTTCCCTTAGATACTCTGCCATCAGAAATGGGAACAGAATGGGGTAGGTATCTAGTCTAACACTTGAGAGAAGAATGTTCCCTCTCAGCTGTGGAGTCTTGTGAGCAAAAATTCTATTTTGTGAGCTACTGACATTAAAGTTGTGAGCGAGCAATTTGGCTCCTGCATAAATTAGTTTGCTCTGGAGCCATCCTTCCTGAGCTAAGACAAAAATGTGTGAGCCACAGGCTAAAAAACTGTGAGCTAGCTCACACTAACTCAGCTTAGAGGGAACACTGGAGAAGATATGTCTGATTCTGCAAGGGAGTGATTATTTGAGGTGCAAATCCCAAATGTGGTGCATGCCCGGGTTACATCTAGATAGATTACTGCAATGCACTCTGTATGGGGCTGCCCTTGAAAAGTGTTCAGAAACTTTAAATTGGTGCAGAATGCTGCAGCTGGGATGTTGACTGGAGTGGTTCATAGTGATTATATCACCTTATCTTGGCCCATCTATGCTGGCTGTCCCCTAAACCCGGCCCTTGGTCAAGGGATTTGATACAGAAAGTTCTGAACCAAACCAGGCTAGCTCATTATGACAGAAAGAGCCTTGGGATTCTTGTGTCACCTGTGCAACCTGCAGTATGACTTTCTTATAGTGCACAGACATGTGGCGTAAATTTAACCTTCGTATGTACCCTCCCAAGATAATCTACTTCTAGTTAGAACGCAGAAAAGTGGTCTCTCCTTACAGAATTTTAGTTCCCTTCCTTTCTCTCTCTCTCCCCTTCTGTAGTCAACATAACCCTGGATCCAGATACAGCAAACCCCCAAGTTATAATTTCTAAGGACCGGAAAAGCGCCAGATGGGACGTCACCAGGACTGATGTCACACCTAACACAAAACGATTTAAATCCTCTTGCTGTGTGCTGGCTTCAGAAGGATTCACTTCCGGGCGACATTACTGGGAAGTCAATGTAGAGGATGGAGGCATCTGGGCTGTAGGAGTAGCCAGAGGGTCTGTGGGGAGAAAGCTTGAGCTCAAGCTGACCCCAGAGGAAGGGATCTGGGCCTTGCAGGGAGATTTTGGTCAATACCAGGCTCTCACTGCCCCCGTGACGCCACTGTCTCTCAGCTGCACTCCCAGGAAGATCCGGGTGTCTGTGGACTACGAGAGAGGGCAGGTCGCCTTTCTAAACGCTGACACGAAGGATTCGGTCTTCACTTTCCCATCGGTTTCATTTGCTGGAGAGATGATCTTCCCCTTTTTTAAAGTGCTGCTTTCCCAGCTGACACTCGATGGCTGAGGGATGCACCTGTTGGAGATCAATTGAGGCAGATCAGTTAACATCTTTAACTGAGATATCATACAATCATGATGGGCAAAGGGGGAGGATTAAACCCACAGTTCAGTGCATGCTTGTGAAGTGGGAGTAAAGGGGGGGCCTGAAATTGGTTTTACTGGTTGGGAATTAAAGAGTGGCAGTTGCTCCAGTTTTAAAGCAGACCCAAGGGGGTGATTACATATAACATTATAAACTGATAGGGCCAATTGCTGCTAATGGCCTTTTAGCCAAGTTTCATCAAGACAAAGTTTTGCATGTAAGATGTCACGGACTTCTATTTATCTTCCCTCTACCTGGTTACTAAACTCCTGACAACAGCAACGATCCTGGATTCACAGAGGGTCTAATAATGCAACCACAGTACTATCAGAGTATCTTTGTATCCATCTCCCCCTTATTAATAATTATATACAATACCTTCACCTTAAAAAGAATACAAAATATCAGTTAGTTTTACATAGGTAATTATAAAGTGAGAGAGCTGTTGCTGAATCCAAACATTCAGCTTACTCAGTCAGATTCACAGCTGAGATGAGCTTCAAGCAGAGGGAGTAAAAGAAAGAAGTTGTGCTCGGTTCTAAAGTTTTCATATTTATGTACGCTTGACAGTTTACCTTGTAGTTACAACCATCTCTAACATAGTCTACAATCCCACTTAATTGGAGCTCACTGTCTCAACTGGTTTCTTTCCATTACTTTTAACATACCTACAAGATTACTTTTACCGGTATATTGTTAGATAGCATGGACTAGATAATATGCACCTGTGTTCTCAGTCACTGTTGGCTCATTACTACTATTTTTGATGAGACCAGTCGTATCAGTTGTAATGATAAAACATTCCACAAGTGTATAACTGTTTGTCAGCCACATTATCTGATTAACCATATAATCTTGAATTATGCCTTTCACCTTACACTGAAAGCTGAGCTCGTTATCCCTTCAATGGTTTGGATTCTTAGTTTCAGCATTAAAATGCTTCTTGTATTCCTTGGACATGTCCGAGACATCCCTTCTAGGCTGCTTCCACATAGAGGTTTTACTGTTTCGGCATCCACATGGGAGTGGGGGGAGCATCTACATGACATCTTGCTCCAATTTTCCATTTGTCATCAGTTTGCTATAATCTTTGGGGAAGAGTGGAGTCCAAGCACGTTATCATGCCATCTGGATGGGAAGGTGCACATTGCTAAAGGTTAGTTACAAGCGAATTCTAGGGCCAATTACTAAAAACAATATGTATAATCTGAATATTAACAAAAATACATGTATTTATTATCAAATGGTTAAAAACATTTATGGCCCCAATTGTAGCCTCATTACAGAATAAAAGTATACAATGTACACATGTAGGGACCATTGCGACCCAATGCGTTTCATCCCTAACAGGCCTTCTTCAGTGGTCAAGCAGTATTTGTACATATAGGCTCATGATACAATATACAAAAAAAGGAGTTTTATAGTACCTATCAATTGACCCAAGGCATAGGAATGTTTATGAGACCTCCTGGAGTCTAGCCTTGTGTCATGGTCAGGTGCATGTGTGCTGAATGATGTTGCTACTGCATGCCTTCCAATTTTGGTCCAGAAGATACAGGTGCAAACAACTAATCAGCGTCAAAGTATTCCTATGCCTTGGGTCAATTGATTGTTACTATAAGACTCCTTTTTTGGTCCTACATTAACTTGGCAATTGTCTTACTATTGTATCATGAGCCTATAAGAGGGAGCTATAACAAATACTAGCCTTTTGGGGCCATGTTCCCAGTTGTACCACTTTCTCCATTTCATATTTGACCATGTCTATAGATGAAAGATTACTTCATTGCTAGATCTACTATTAAGTAGCCTCACATTGCTTCAATTTTGGAGATTCTCTCCAAATTAAAAAAGAAGAGCAGGGTACAGAACGTTCTAAAGGGGAGATGAGGAAATTTATACCAAAGCAGTTGGGTCTTGCTCTTGGGAGGGGGGGAAGTTACCCAAATAGGCAGTCTCCTAATTAATTGTGGAAATAAGCTGAAAGGAGACAAAGCAAGAGGTGGGTAACCAGGATGTCTACCAATGTTAACAGGGATTTTTCCCTTGGAGAACTCTTGAAATAAACCAGGCAGATGTTCACCCGGAAAAGTTTTTATTGAAAGAGAAATAAAAAAGCAAACCATACGCACTAAACACACTTAAAACACATACAAGGCTAAGAGAAAAATAGGGAGGAGTGGGGAGAAAGCGATTTCAGAAAGGTGATATTTACCAATCTAGACAAAGAGGTCCGTGGAAGCAGCAGTGAAAGGACCAGCATTTCACGGAGGAGAAGGCGCCCACGCAAGTGGGGGTGTGAGGTACAATGCCGAGAACACACACACACTGTCTAGGTGCACTTGATACAGAGTAAAATGCTACCTGGGGCTATGCTGATGTATCTGCCCCCAAAACAATAACTTGATGGCTGTTCCAGAGATAGACAATGTTTTGGGAGACGCTTGATGGTTTTACCTGAGGTGTAATTATAGGTGCTAATAGCTGCTTGATGACCCTGAGATTACCAGATAGGAGAATCTACCAGGTTTGTTAAGTGTAGCTTAATTAAAGTGAATAGGTGAGGAAAATGAGGCTGGGTGATGATAGGATTAATTCAAGGTAGGCAAGGTTAATCCAAGGTGAGGCAATCTGTTTTGGGAGATCCATTGTCTTATGCATCTCTTTAGGGTGGGGAGGAGAATGTTAGTGGGTCAGTCACTCTCACACTTTCTAAATAGTATGTCCAGCCTGGTCTTTGGCTGGTTGGTATCCTCTGGCTGGTACCCATTTTATCCTTTTAGGCCAGGCTGTGCGTTGCACTCTGATCCCATGCTTGGAATCATTTTCATATCATTTTGGGCCAGGTATATGGAAACTTCATGCTTATGTATGCCCACCCGATCCACCAGGCATCTCTTCTCTGCGGCCTCTTGATATCTTGATGTTGTTTCTCCTTTGCTTCAGGGTATGCACATGGCCTGCAATTAGTTTCTAATCAAGAAAGACTCCTCTGCTACACAGTAAGCTCAACCCAACTCCATCTTTCCCCAGTCCTTCACCCACAACTTTCAGCTTAATCTTATACACAGTCCCTGTTCAATGAAATGGGTAGGAAGAGGTCATATCTTATGGGTGAAGGTCCCAGATGCAACTCCAGCATCTCCAGCTACAAGCTCTCATGGAACAAGTGCTGAGACACACCTTGCCTCAACAGGGCTGCTGCCAATCAGAGTAGACAATGCTGAGCTAGATACACCAATGGTCACCTTCAGTATAAGGCAGCTGCATATGAGCTCTCCATCTCAGTGCCTTTACTGTGGAGCTGATACAAGTCTCTAAAGGGAAAATTATGGCAGTGACTGCCATTTCCTACCTTGCAATCCTCTGCAGCCTCTTCTATGGGAAGTATGGGGTGTGCTTTGTTGTCCCTGCATATCACCCAGACTGCAATTTGATCTTGTTTGCAGAAGAGTTTCAAAGGATCTTGGTGTCACTCACACACATGCTGACTGTTCTGCGATCTGATTGCCTCTCAGGTCCATATATAAGGCTCATTACTACAATGTTTCTTGACTCCCTGCTGGGCCTGAGATTTCTGGGAATATCTTTTTGCATTGAGTATCTGAATTCTTCCAGCACTGGCTAATACTGCGTTTGCAAAGACAATGTCCACATTTCCTGGATATAGCCTGTGTGAAGTAGCCCGGGCAGACAGAACAAGTGATTTCTTCCTGAATGCTTCCTAGGAATTTATCAGTAGTCTCTCTATGCCAGGATGGGCCTTACTTAGAACGGTGAAACACCAGAGCCACAAGTGTCACACTCCTGTCCTAGGTGCTTCTGCCAACTCTCCTGCTCCTTGCAATTGCACCTGCTTTTCTCTTTCTGTCCTTCTCTCTAATTTCTCCCCCAACCACAAGCTAGCAGTCAAAAACTGCTGTGCTTTCCTTTCGCTCAAAAGGCCTTCCCCTAAAGGCAAAGTTCTTGCTTTCAAGTCTCTCCACAACTCCTTTCTCATGCAAGGTTATAACTTATAACCAGACACCGGTTGGAAGGATGCCACAGTTCCTTTGGCCTGTTAACCAGCTCATCCTCCTATAGGAATTGGTGTCCCGGTACCCTACAGAAAAAAAGCTTGATCCGTACGGGGGCTGCGGTCACACACGCTAATCCACTTTCAGTGCATTTTCCAACTGGATTTTACTGTGTGAACTGGAAAAATCCAGTTGGAAAGTGCATTGAAAGCGGATTATTTCGTGTGTGTGACCGCAGGCTTATTAGCTTCTGAACGTTTGGAGAACCCACGGACCCCAACCGTTACACGAGCTGCGCGGAAACAGGGCACTGACTAGGTCAACAGACCTACTCTATCCGGGAGGGGGAAGGGCAGCTAACGGGTTTTGCCGGCCGCCAGCAGCAGAAGCCCACAGGATCCTTCACCGTGTGTAACCGCAGCCTTATTAGCTTCTGAGCGTTCGGAGAATCCACGGACAGCTAACGGGTTTTGCCGGCCACCAGCAGCAGAAGCCCACAGGATCCTTCACGGGAATGTTTTAAAATTAAAATTATTGACATCCCACCATACTGCCTTAGACTCAACGCGATGAAAACAACGCCGGGGACTGCAACTTCTACTTCTGAATGTCTTTGTGCAAGTCTCAGGTCGCCTTTCCCCTTTTAACATGGCAACCTGATTTTTTTTAAGCACCAAAAATGTCCCCCAAGACTGAAGTCGCTCAGTTTACAGCGCTAGCAATTGATTTAAAAAACAAACCCTATATGCACAAACTAACCGCCGTTCATAATCCACACCCACGATGCTCCCAAAACACGCGCCACATGTTTACCTTTCGCTCCTCCCTAGAGCAGCCTCCTGTCCCCAGTCGTGTGTCAGGGACGCCCCCGCCGCTCCCCAGCTCTCTCCCGCGGCCAATCAGATCCCCCCTAGCGAGCCACATGCTTCCTCCCTTTCGCTCGCCTCCCTTTCCCCAATCATGGCTACCGAGAGCTCTTTGGAAACCCTGCAACGAGAGCTCACTTGCTCCATCTGCCTGGGCTTCTTCAAAGAGCCCGTCTCCATCGACTGCGGGCACAACTTCTGCCAGGCGTGCATCACGCAGTGCTGGGGGAGATCGGACGACGAGAACACCTCGTGCCCCCAGTGCAGGCGCTGGTCTCGCAAGAGGAGCTTCAGGCCCAACCGGGAGCTGGGCAACGTCGTGGAAGTCACCAAGCGGCTGAGGCTGGAGGCGGCCAACGCGCTGGCGGGCCAGCGGCTGTGCGAGAAGCACCAGGAGCCCCTCAAGCTCTTCTGCGAGCAGGACGAGACGCCCGTCTGTGTCATCTGCAGGGAATCGCGGGCTCATAAGGCCCACCCCATGCTGCCCATCGAGGAGGCGGCGCAGGATTACAAGGTAGATCGATGACACACGCACCCGCCTTGCCCCTGGCAGAGCCTTTGGAAGAGCAGAAGCGGCCCGGCCCTTATCACCACCATCCACAGCTGCCTTCCTCACTGGATATAATCCTGTGCATCTCTTCTCCACCCAGAAGCACCGTCTCCCTGTACTCAGTGGGGTTGACTCCTAGATAGTGGGTGCGCCCTGTGCACCTCTGCTCGGAAGCAACTCTGTATTCAGGCAGGTGGCAGTCTGGCAGTGCTGTCCTATGCAGTCTTCAGAAGCAAGTCCCAGTGTGTTCAGCGGGATTTAGGAGCGAGTAGGTTTGTGCATCTGTATTTGGAAGCAAATCCCACTGAATTCAATAGGGCTTGATCCTTGGTGGGCATGCATAGGACTGTAGTTTGACAATTGTGTTAGTCCAGTTTAAGCCCATTGATTTCAATCCATTAATCACTGGTGTAACTCTGCATAGTATTGCACTGTTAAGTCACTAATAAGATAGAGACCTGGCATACCTGCTTTCCCTTCCTGTTCTTCCTCCTGCCCCAGGGTGTGGGGAGGGCAATGAGATAGCACCAAAGACCAGAGGGGGGAACAAATCTGATTTGCCTTAACTTTGACGGATTCCAAACTACATGGCACTTTGGAGGATAACATGCAGCACATGTCCATCCACTCAGAAATAAATTCCACAAAGTTCAGTGGGACTTAAAGTGAGTTGCACTGTCATTCTGGTACATGCTTCTGGTACGTGTGACTTTCATCAGATAACCCTGTGCATCAGTTAAGTGGCCTAGCACAGTGGGTTCCACATGACTCCTTTTTGTTTCTTCAGTAACTACTTAATACAGCTGAGCTCACCTTCAGCAATGTGGTCATCTATGTGAGCCATAAGGGCCAGCCTACCTGCTCTAATTATCGTCAGTGGGCTTTCTTTGAGAATCAGGCAAGTAGTTACTAGATTTAGGATTTTTATGGTGGTGTGCCCTGGCCATGGAAGTCCCCCTGTAAATACAGTTGTCTGGTGCCTTGTCATCTTTTAGATGCTAGGCAAAGGCCGTCTTGTTCTCCCTGCGTTTTACTTTATGATTTGATTTCAGGCTTCCTGTTCTTATTTGTACAAGTGTGTGCGCGCGTGCACGGGGTGTGTGTGTGTGTATGTAACTATCTTTGTTGTTTGAACTCCTAATCAGACTTTGGTTTTCTTGTTCTCCTTTTACTAGTGTTTTGTAATTGAAATTGTTTATTGTTTTATGGATTTTATATACACATTTGATAGAAAGGTATGTGTGTGGGGTGGGGGTGAAAATAACTAAACCACTTCGAATGTTTCAAATAAATGATACCGATACTAAGTATTTTGTGCAAGTAGAACTGGGGAGCCCCCTGACCTGGATGATGGCCCAGGCTAGCCCGATCTTGTCAGATCTTGGAAACTAAGCAGGGTCAGCCCTGGTTAGTACACCAAGGAAGTCCAGGGTGAATACACAGAGGCAGGCAATGGCAAACAACATTTGTTCATTGCTTGCCTCGAAAACACTACAGGACTTGAGGGCACTTTCCACCACATGAACTGGGAAGTACATTAGGTGAGAAACCATATGTGGAAGCCATAGTGCAGGTTGCTTATGATTCATGTCTATGGCATCGTTTAAGTTTTTGTAATAATACTACTACTTTCCATTCATTAATCGCTTTCCCCAGTGGGCTCAAAGTGATGTACAGTTACTCAATATAGACAAGGGACTAACAATGTTTGTAGGGGATAGAGAAGACAACATATATTCATTTTAATTGCACGTGCCGTCACTGCCCGGTGTGGACACATAGACTCCTGAGATTTTTTGATTAAATGCATCTTTGGTAATTGCTTGGAGGGCGGGGACAATCAAATCCAAGCTAAAGTTCAGGACTCCACAGAGAGCTTGACATTGTACTTCTAAGCAGAGTTGCACTCAATGAAGTCAGTGGGCTTAGAAGGATGTAATTGTGTTTAGGATTGCACTGTAAGGCTGCAGTCCTGAGTAAACCTTTTACTGTGGAACTGAGCCCCCTGGAAACCAATGGGACTTGCCTTGGAGTAAATCTGCATGGGATCAGGCTGCAAGCTATCGAAGCAGAGAGTGTCTTCCCAAAATCTTGTGGATGGGGGAGATTCCTAAATGCCTTCCCCAATATGTCTTTTGGTCTACGCTCAGAAACGAATTGACACCCACGTGAAAGCTCTGAAGTACAGGAGAGAAAAGCTGAAAGAGTCGAAAGAAGACTTGGAGTGCAGAAGCCAGGCTGATCAGGTAGGGGCTCATCGATGTTGTTCAGGAAGAACCGGGAAGTGAGGGGGATACCTGTTTATTCTGACGTTGGGGAGAGAATGAATAAATTCAAGTTTACCAAAGCACAGTCTCCTCGTATTGACATGGTTAGATTTGAGACCAGTAGCCCCTTAGAGACAAAGAGGAGTTTCAGGGTATGAGCATTTGAAGGTCAAAGCTCTCTCTTCATCAAACCCAGTAGAGTAGAAGACTCTAACGATGAAGGGGGCTTTGACTCTTGAAAGGTTATACCCCCAAAATCTTGTTGACCTCTAAGGTGCTGCTGGATTCGGATCTAATTATTCTACTGTAGACCAACATGGCTACCCTATGACACTAGGTACCTGTGGAGACTTCCAACTGTTTGGTGTAGTGGTTAAGTGCACGGACTCTGATCTGGGAGAACCGGGTTTGATTCCCCACTCCTCCACTCGCAGCTGCTGGATGACCTTGGGCAAGCCATAGTTCTGTCAGAGCTGTTCTTGAAAAAGAGCAGTTTCTGTCAGAGCTCTCTCTGCCCCACCTGCCTCACAGGGTGTCTTTTGTGGGGAGGGGAAAAGAATGGAGTTTGTAAGCTGCTCTGAGACTCTTTTGGGTAGTGAAGGGCAGGATATAAATCCAATCTCCTCCTCCTTTTCTTCTTCTTAATTGTGAGGGTGTTAACAGTATGATACACAGCAATGGGGTCCCTCACAACTGAGTCACACCTTGGATCCTGCCGGTGTTAGGAGAAAGACTAAGTATATAAATGTTCTGAATAAATAAGTCTTCTCTATGTCCAGGGGTGGTGCAAGGTCTTCTTGCACATACAGATGGATTTTCCCCCTTGCCCAACTCCTCCAGACTGTTGTAAATTTTACTAGGCACACATATGCTCCACCCCCTCCTCAGCCAAAGCTGATTTGTGCTATCTGCATTTTTAAAAAATGATTTGTGTACATCCTTTCATTCTTCACCCAGACTTGTCAGAGGTTGGGAGCTAAGCAGCTTTGGCCACAGTCAGTGCTTGGATGGGGGATAACCAAGGAAGACTGGGGTTGCTATGCAGAGGAAGGCAATGGCGAGTCACCTCTGCTCATCTCTTGCCCAGAACGTTCTGTGGATGGGGTCACCATGAGTTGGTTGCAACTTGATGACATGTTCTTTTTCTTCCTAATTCTTAGGCCCATGTCCAGGGGTTTACAAACACTTGTTATTTGGGGCAGGTGCCCCATCCGAGTTAACCTGCTGGCTTGGGGGCACCAAGGACTTTAGCACCTATGTCTCGATTTTTGTCAACCTGAGCTAGCCACACCCTTTCCCTGCTCATTTCAGGATGATGTGCAAACTGAGAAGCAGAAAGTAGAGTCCGAATTTAATCAAATCCACGAATTCCTGGAGAAGATAGAGCGTTTCCTGATTATTATGCTGAAGAAGTTTGACAAAGAGATTGTGCAGCGGAGGGATGGGGCTGCGACCAAACTCTCAGAGGAGATCACTCGTCTGGATACCTTGATCGTCGAGGTGGAGGAGAAATGCCAACAGTCAGCAAGTGAATTCCTGCAGGTGAGGCCGTCTTAGGGCTTTCTGCACTGTTGACTTTCTGCACCTCAGCACTAAAGCCAGGAATGCAGGAAGCAGTGCTGGTAGACAACCGGTGCCACATTAGTTAAGATGTTATGCCCAGTGCCTTGTTTAGACTGTGCCAGTTTGAAATTTGATTCAAGTTCAAAGCTCTTAAGGCTTTGCTTGCCACCTTGTTTCCGTGCCTTTAGGCACTGTTTCTGCAATAAAAATGTGAGACTGGTCTTCTTTCTCTGTTTCCCCTTCCCCAGGACATCAGGAACATTTTGAACAGGTATGTAGTTCTTTTGTAAACATCACCACCTTTTGTTGTGGTTGGGAGAGCTGAGGAAGCCCACTCTAGACTTACATCCAACAAGAGGTTTTGAAGAGCAAGGTCCTCCGTGGGGCACAAATCTCGGGCTGCATTCAAGTGTTACAAACAAATCACAATTTGGGGTGGGAAAAGTTCTGAGGCTCAAGTGTTCCACATGGTGTGGAGTGAACCGTGTCCGAATTGTGTTAAACTTAGATGTTGTTGGGTTTTTCCCATTTGGGAAATGTTGCAACGAACTACGGTACAGTTTGTTCAGTCTACTTCCTGAGCAGGAGAGTAGCACATGAACCTGTGGACTTCCTGGTTGGGTCCTATTAGGTTCTTTTCAGGTATCACAACCAATTTGTGTTCATGGGAATTTCTTATGTTGATAATCAGAACAGGGAATGACATCTTTATTTGAATATCTTTTTTTTTTTTTAGTACCAAAAGCATTTGGGAACTTATTTTAGTTTCTGCTTCTGTCATGCTTTGCTGTGTAAAACTGCATGTTGAACACAGTAAAAACAGAGGGGGGAAAAACAACAGCTGCCCTGAGCCTTCGGGGTAGGGTGGGATATAAATTCAAAGATTAAAAAAAAGGATGTGGGGGAATCCAAACAATCATTTCCATTCCTTCTAATGAACTCTAAATTTATTTTAGCCCCACCCCCAGCCTCAGTTGGGAGACCTGAGGCTTTGGGTGATTTTCATCAAACACCAGGACATAGTTGTCTTTTGTTTATTAAAACATTCCCAACTCACCTTTCTTTCCCCAATCTGAAGGGCCCAAGTCAGCTTTCCTAAATTATATATGTTAATTAAAAATCCTGAATACACAGTCCATATCATAAATAGACAAATTCATTGCAAAACTGTCCCTGGCTACCATTAACCAAATGCCATCTTGAAAAAGTACCACCTTTACTGGCTTTGCTGTACAAAGCTTTCATTTATGCCATACAAACTTTCCCATTAGAAGTTAGAATATTTATGAACATTCTGTAGCATCAGAACATCTTAGTCAGTGATTTGGGAAGGGGAACTGCAGACAGCCAATTTATAGCCTTTCATACGCATAACGCACGTAAGTTCCTGACTACACAATAATGGACCCGTTTTCCATTCTAGGTGCCAGGATGGACAGCTGCCACAACTTGTGACAGTTCCTTCGTCTCCGACTGACCTGGAAAAAAAACTTGGGCATTTCAGTCTGAAAAATATTGTCATCAAGGAGGCTTTGGAGAAATGTCGAGCCTCAGCATTCTGTGTTCTGCCTCAAAGAAACCCAATCTTAGTGCCCAGAATAAAATAAAAATGATTTTGACCACTGGAATAAAGTAGAAGGAAAAGGGGAGAATGTGGACAGATGGGAGAAAAATGGATGTTGCGGAAGTGCACAGTATTGTAGAAGGACTATGGCCCCGGTCACATGGGCCGGATATCGTGGGGGGGAGGCGTGGCTGTTTGCCCCGGAGCGAACTACTACGCGGCAGCGGGATCAAACATCCCGCTGACGTCCCGTGGTTGGGGGGAGGTGCCGGGGAGGTGCCGATCATACTCACTCCTGCGGCACGCAAAGAAGCGGGTCGGTGGGGGTTGTTTTTTTAAAAAAAACCCCAAGTGTTTGCATGTTTCGTTGGGTGCTTGTACGCATCCCATGGAGACTTGGGAAAACAAACCTTTTTGCTACGGGACATGGGCGGGCGGCGGATGCCACCGGAAACGTGATCAGACACCCGCCCTTGCCCCTCAGAGGTACTAGTTTTTTACCCCACATCTTCGGCGGGAAGCCTCGGGTGAGCCACCAAAATGATTTTGACCACTGGAATTAAGTAGAAGGAAAAGGGGGGAACGTGGACAGATGAGAGAAAAATGGATGTTGGGGAAGTGCACAGTATTGTAGAAGGACTGTGATGGATGACTAATTGTGTAGGTCGGGGAGGCACCTCAGCTGACTACCAAAGCCCACAATCTTCACATTCCCCACCCCCGCAGCACACATCCCTGAGGGTTTTCCCCCCTCTCTGCCAACTCAATTGTCCACTTTTCTTGTAGCAACCATACTGATATTCTTGAAGCTAATGCAAATCTTCTTTTCACTTCAGCTGCTGGAATATGGGACCATTAACATTCTGGGGCATAGCCCACTTCTGCTGATTTAGCTGGTCTGTGGTTTCTGAATTTTGGCCATATGGTGTTTGTGCATTCCCCCCCCCACACCCCCAATTATCCTCTTGTGACTGTGACAGAAAAAGAAGAAAGCTGCGATGGTTGGCCTGCCAAGTACCGAACCAAATGCCACCTTCTGTATCTGACTACCACGCTGTCCTCATTCTGTCCTCATTCCCAGTGAAAGCTGCAATATATGAAGAAACTCTAGCTCTTGTATTTGCAGTTCCCCCTCCCTCCCTCCCTCTCTCTCTCCCTCACACACACACGCACACACAGAGTTTATGGATGGGTAGGACATATTTTTAAAATAAATAATTTATATCCAGCATCAATGCAACGGGGATCTTTGAGTCTGTCTTCTCTTTCTGTCTCTAGAGACAATGATATCTGAATTGGCAAAAGCAAGGGCAATGGAAACGGCAGCTAAGAAAGGTGAGTTGTTTTTGTTTTTATGTTGAGGTATTCTCCTATAGGGAAGATCAAAGCCCCGTCTGTGCAGGCTTCTTGTTCTGCTCCCAGAAAACTCCATTATGACTGGAGAAGTGAACTATCACTCCATCCAGCAGGCATCCAGCAGGTTGGGTGGCATTTTTCGATGCTGATTATATGGTGAGAGTACTCTTTGCTTGTACTCTCACCTGACTTTTGTGGGGGCCCCTTCTTTTAGCTTTTAGAAAGCAGAGGGTTTTTATTCCCATTACTATGTCAACACTCGAGCCCAAATCTCCAGATCCCCGAAGATGACACTAGTTTCCCAAGTGGTCTTCCATGCCTCCCTGTTGTATTTGTGGAAAACTGAGACTGTCCATACTCAGGCTTTCACTTTACCTTAATTTTTATTTTTATTTATGTTATTTGTAGCCAAGCTTTCTCACTGACATTCAAGGCAGGTTAAATAGTATACGTCAGATACATCAACAGCATGGGACATCCAATAAAACAGTGCAGATCTGTAAATGGACCTGAAAATGGAAATCTGAAAATGGAACTGAGACATACCTGAAACAACATGTAAGAGCCAGTTTGGTGTAGTGGTTAAGAGCAGTGGACTCTAATCTGGAGAACCGGGTTTGATTCCTCACTCTTCCACATGCAGCCGCTGGGTGACTTTGGGTTAGTCACAGTTCTCTCAAGAGCAGTTCTCTCAGAGCTCTCTCACCCCTACCTATCTCACAGGGTGTCTGTTGCGGGGAGAGGAAGGGAAGGAGATTGTAAGCTGCTTTGAGACTCCAAGTGAAGGGCAGGGAATAAATCCAATCTCCTCCTCCTCCTCCACCTCCTCTTCTTATTCCTCTTCATTACACCTTAAATGATGTAGAAGTTATGCAATGGGAGCATACTTAGAACAACACAATAGTATAGTCTGCAGTCCCTATCTCTTTGCCAAAGCATCTTTCTGAATCATATTCATTACAGTACAGCCCTATTACCGGTGTAAAAAAGCCTTCCTTTATCATTCAGTTTTGCATTGTTTGTGGAAAGCCCGGAATTTTGGAGTCCTCCTAACCTTGTCAGGAAGGCCATTCCATAGGGTGAAGGCCACAATAGAGAAAGCGCATGCACAGGCAGTTGTTGGTTTTGTTCATGTGTAGGGTGGCAGCTGCAGAAGGCCCTGCTCAGATGCATTAAGCTGATGTGGCAGATCATAGGGAGAAAGGTGGTTTTGCAGATATGATGGACCAAGGCCATAAAGGGCTTTGTATGTGATAGTCAATATAACCTTGAATTGAGCCCAGGAAATGATGGGTAGCCTGTGAAGTGATTGCAGAATGGGAATAATATCCATGTTCCACCTGGCTCCCCGTAATAGCTGAGCTGTGGTGTTCTGTACTAACTGGAGTCTCCATATTTTCTTCAAGGGGAAACCTACATAGAGTGAATTGCGTTGGGATATTCTGGATTAAGATGTATAAATAAGATGGTAGCCTTCCTTGTGGCAGAGCTCTTCTGACTTTGTGTTTGTTTTCCCCCTCAGCCATCGTAACTCTGGACCCCAACTCAGCTCATCCTGTATTTGTGATGAGTGAAGACAGGAAGTGCGTGAAGCAGGGAACTGTGTGGCAGCAGCTGCCTGACACCCCTGAGAGATTTGACACCGCCACCATTGTGCTGGGCTGCGAAAGATTCGCCTCAGGGATACACTACTGGGAAGTGGAAGTGGGGGATGGGCAGAACTGGGCTCTTGGTGTCTCCTGGGAGTGTGTGAAGAGGAAAGGGGATATTGCCATTAGCCCTGAGGAGGGGATCTGGGCTTTGGGGCTCTGTGGGGATGAGTATAAGGCTTTTACTTCACCTGAGACATGCCTCACCCTAGATGACCCCCCAGAGAAAATCCAAGTTTTTCTACATTACGAGAGAGGTTGGGTGGCATTTTTCGATGCGGATTATATGTCCCTGATCTTTATTTTCCAGTCAGCTAAATTCCAAGGAGAGAAAGTATGTCCTTTCTTTAAATTATACAGTCCAACTACAGAGCTTAAACTGTGTCCCTGAGTAGGGTTGTCAGTTCCATGGTGGGGTTTGGGGAGAGAAGGGACCTCAGAGAGATATAATGCCATAGACTCCATCCTCCCGAAGCTGCCATTTTCTCCAGGGGAAATGATCTCTATCCTCTGGAAATAATTTTTTAATTCTGGGAGATCTCCAAACCCTACCTGGAGTTTGGCGACTGTATCCCTGAGACACCATCTCTGGTACATTGGTCTAGTTATTTTCTTCAGCTATAACCATGCATAGTTTTGTATGGTACTTTGTGAATAATACAGAATTTTGATTGGGGGGAAAAAAGATCTCCAGCTCTCAGTGTAAGCAAAAGAGCAGGTTTCATCATGCCCCTCCTGTATTTTTTAAAAAGATCACATCAAGTGTACATAATTTGAGAGATTCTTCTATGTCATCATGAATATTTAGTTGCAGGCTGAGCATTCGTATATCTGTATACGCTTCTACCTTGTATTACCTCAGCTAACATTTAGACTGGACATCCTTTTATTTAATGTCTTGCACCAAAATGTAAATATATATTTACTTAGGAGCACACCCTGTTCATTTCAGTGGACCTCAGTTCCATTTCAAAAGCTTAGGATTTGTAGTATTCAAATTCTGTTCCTTGCCTCGTCTCAGTTATCCATCTCTTTCCAAATATTCTGTGTGCACCTCGCCCTGTTCCGTAGTCTCCTGGATTACATATTGATCTGTATTTCATTGCCGTTTCGGAATATTCTCTCTCTTTACCAAGCTCAGAGCATGCCAGAGAGAGTGTTCAAAACTGATATGAAAGAGAAGGTGCGGTTTGAATGTTTATTGCCATTGCCTCTTCTCATTTTCTCATTTGTTACCTAGCTTGGGGAGGGGATGTGGGGCATTGGCAGTGTATTTCTAATAGTTTCCTTGCTACCACCCTAAATCAGAAACTGGCTTGGGGAGGGATGATGGATAACATGGGACATAGGATGGGGAGAGGCAAGAGAAGAACATTGATAGGGGAAGTAGTGCTGGATCCATCTCTTCCATCTCCTCCCCCTCCCTGCCCAAAGAAAATACCTGTTCCATTGTAGGGTCTGGAGTATGGTCTGAAGTCACATGATATACCTACCTTGCTGAAGCGAGGTAGGTCTAGGTGTGGCCAGTACCTGTGTGAGAGACTGGAAGCCTAGGATCCTGTGTCTGCAAGCTCCATGATGGAGAAAAGGTAGGATAGACATGTAATAATGAATACATCTGTGGAATTGCACGGCTTTTTTCCTAATGAGCAAATAATTTCCCCCCTTCCTGTCTTTACCTTTTATTATTGTTTCCAAATGTGGCAGTTCCGACAAAGTCTTTCTTTGTCTTCTTAATTTGACATGCCTGCCTGACCTTCTGTAAGCATTTTCCTCTGTGGTACAGCTCGAGTGCTGTTCATGCTGAGCGAATACAAATGTTACAGCTACTACTGTACTTCTCTTCTTGCAGAAGGGTCCATTCCCCCCATCCTGCATTTTATTTGCATTGCATGTTGGGATGGGAAAATACAAGGACAAAGGCAGGGGAGAGAGATTGCATTTGTTTTTCTTTTATTCTTTTTTTTTTAGAAAGCATTCCCACAAGCCAAAGCTTGAACCATTTCCAGCTCCCCAACTTTGGCAAGGTCCCACAAGTGAACGCATGAACACTGCTGCCTTAAATTGAGTCCGACCATTGACCTCTCAAAGTCAGCCTGGCAGTCTCTTGTGGGTGTGGTTTTTCACCTCACCTACTAGGTGGGCCTTTAAAGTGGGACCTTCTGCATGCAATGCCGATGGGCCACTTAATGAAACAGGGCCCTTCTCCTGTGAATGAAAGTGGAAAGGTAAACAAAACTCCCAAGTTATTTCCTGTCAGGAGATGGAAAGAGTCATTATCTTTCAGGCAGAAAAAAATCAGCTTCCTATTGTGAATGTTAAGTTAGTTGTGGAATTTCGTTTCAAGGCTTGTTTGGTTGGCCGCTGTGTGAGACAGGATGCTGGACTACATGGACTGTTGCTCTGATCCAGTAGGGCTCTTCTTCTGTTCTTCTGTTCCTGCTTCATATTCTGACCACTGGAAGCCCTGCTCAGTCCCCCTCCCTGCCTCCCATCAGCTCTTGGGATTTCCTTAGGCATTGATCTCACCAATGTCAAGACTATCTTTAAGGGCTTAATTGTTTTGAGTCTGTTGTAAAAGCTGAGGTTTACCCAGCTGCTGAATTCTGTGCCTGGTACCAACTTTTCTGTTTGGGGGAGTTTGTGAAATACGCACCATGCCCCGTACAAGCTGGTTGCTCTCATCTGTCTCTCTCTTCTGGTTATGCTGCTCCCGTAAACCTCAACATTCGTCTGAAGGTCAAATTTTACATTGAACAGTTATATCCATTGGCTCCAATGGACATAGAATGGCGTAACTCTTAGGATGCACAGCCAGTTGCGCAATTTATTTGGGCGAGATTCGAGACCAATAGCACCTTAAAAGACTAAAAAGGTTTCCAGGGAATAAGCTTTCAAGAGTCAAAGATCTGTTTGTCAGATGCTTGGAATGCAAAAAACTGGTTTGTTGGGGAGGTCTGCAAAACAGCTTGAAGAGTGGGGAAGCTTTAGATTTTTCATCAACTTGTATCATTTTTTTAACAAGAGGAAGAAAGAAAATTGGTAAGGCATACTTACATTCTTTGATTAATCTGATACCACCTTTTCTCATGTTGCAAGGTTATTTTATGAACATTGTGGCCTTTTTAAGACTGGCAAAAAAACCCGGCCTGTTACTTTTAAATAATGACATGTACTGTGCCCCATAAGAACCATGCTGGGGGTGGGTTAAAAATGCTGGGGAGCCGTTTAAAGCTGTGATGCTTACTGTTTAGCAGCATATCTCCAAAGTTATGGGTAAGGATTGTGAACCTAGGATATTCTACTTGCAAAGCATTGTGGAGGTTATATGCAAAGGTTTCATTTCACTGACAACAGAACCTTGCTCCTGAAGAAGAGGTGCCAGGGAATTTCTTCACTGTTAAAAGGGCCCTTTGCACCCGGTCAGTTGTTGTCTTAGGACCAATGCTCCCTCTAAGCTGTGGAGTCTTGTGAGCAAAAGTTCTATTTTGTGAACTACTGGCATTAAAGTTGTGAGTGAGCAATTTGGCTATTGTATAAATTAGTTTGCTCTGGAGCCATTCTACCTGAGCTAAGACAAAATGTGTGAGCCAGAGGCTAAAAAACTGTGAGCAAGCTCACACTAACTCAGCTTAGAGGGAACACTGCTTAGGACCCCTGGCTATCTCATGAGTCTTTAAAACATTATTTTGCTTCATAGATGACTGTGATTTCTCATTCCAATTCTGAGATGCAAGTCTTCGTTGGTTTGGTATTGTTCTGTGTGTGCATTAAAAAGGGGGTGGGGTGGGGTGAATGGTAATGGAAAAAAGGCTTAGCCCACTACCCTAATTGGTGATAGCTAGTCTGGCTATTTTAGAATTGAGGCTTGGGAGAACTATGGGGCAAAGGCTGATGTATAGGAAGGTCATAATGATCATGTTGGATAAATCCATAAGTGAAGGAAGAATGTGTGTGGCGACTTTTCAGCCAGCAGTTGTAAGCTGCACCTGCTGTATAAACCTAAACTGATCTATAGCATCCCAGGATGAGTCCCAAAATTGTAGTTTTTCTTACAGCCGCTGCCCAGAATTGCCTTTGTTTTTAGACTCACTGAGACTTCAGTTTTATTGGTGATCCTACAAATAAAAAACAACCCAGCATTTTATTTTATTATTTTAATTGCTGGAACAATTTGCCCTTCTTGTGTTTCCTTTTATTTTTGGGTGTTGTTTTTTGGCATTTTTGGTTGGTTGATGGATCTTGCCTTTGGTAATTTGTGTGTTTTCTGTCTAAAAGCCTTTGTGCTCTGTAGACAATCCTAAAAATGAAGTGAACTGACTCATGGACTTCAGTGAGACAAAGGGGTAAGTCTGATGAGTTCAGTGGGTTATAGACTGCAGCATCCTCATCGACTGATGTATTTTCTTCTTTGTTAAGGATCAGCAGATTGTAATGTTTAGATCCTCAGGACGATTGTGTTATTACATTAAAATCTCAATAAACACAAGATTATCATGTTTTTGTTATGCAACAGTATTTCAAAAACTTGTTTTCTCAGTTAATTGTTTGCATATGGTAGGAATTAAATTGAAGTCCTGAGCCAAATGTAGACCCCTGAATGTATTAGTTGCACCCATGGGTCATTTTGTAGAAAAAGAGGTGCAGGAGCTCATTAGCATAACTCACTAGCGTAACTTATTTGCATATGCCACACCCCCTGTCATCACCGGAAGTGTGTAGAAGGCAACACCCACTGCTAAGGTGCCACTTGACTGTTTTGAATTGCTAGCTATTGGGGGGGGGGAACGTGCAGATCTGTCCTCGCAGAGGAGGGAGAGCTTGTACCTGAATAAAACTTGGTCTTAAAGGTGGCTCTGGACTGTTTTGGACTGGGGGGAGCTCTGCAACTTACCTGGCTGCTTCTTGCTCTGACTGAGGGCAGCTGGGAGCAGGGGGTGGGGCTTGTTGCATGTGCCCGCCCCCTGGACTCTTTACTGCCGGAGCTCCGCTCCTGTGCGCTCCTGCAGGAAATGACCCCTGGTTGTGCCCCTTACTCCTGCCCAGATCACAAACACGTGTAAGGGAATTGGGTATGGAGATAATCTGGTCTCTCATTTTGTTTATTAATTTATTTAAAACATCTCACTTCTCCTCCCCATACTCAAGGCAGCTAATAATGTAATATGAGGTTGTAAGGACACAAAACATTAACAGTTCAATTAGAATGATTAAAAATGCCCAAATCAAAACCACAATTTTTTAAAAGTCCAGATTACAGATTAAGAAACATGCACACAGAATTAAAAAGAATGCAGCTAGATCTGCTGAAATCGTTTTAACCTCTGTGAAGGAATTCCTTTGGGTGGTGAAACAGAGACATTGCTGATGACAAGTGGGGTCAGTTATTA